GAAGAAAGGATGTATACGGAATGACGATAGTGGGGGAATGGAGATCAAGCGAAAATGTTGTTTGGGTGCAGTGGCATTCCATAGGTTAAAATGACGGGCTGCCCACGGGTGTGAGTGTGTGCACGTGTATGTGACGTGTGTTTGAGCGTAGTGTGTATGCGTGAGTGTGCGCGTGTTGCGTGTGGGTACGTGCGTGCGCTAGTGAATGTTGGAATGATGGATTATTTTATGCGCGTATGCACATACATATGAGCATTCAACAGCAGGCCTTCCCGCGATCCGATCTCGACACTAGGAGCTTCGGGCTATCAAAACATAAATACACGCTTGGGTTCTGATTTTTATTTCTACTTCTCTCACTTTGTATTAATAATAATAATAATAATAATAATAATAATAATAGTATGGTTTTCATCTGAATTTTTTATTCGAATATAAAACCGGTGCAAATAAATTTAGGGGACGATACTCCAAAAACATGTCTGTATATTTTATATCTTATACGAAATAATAACTAGTATTGAAAAAACATTAAAACCTTATGTATGATCTTACATAAGGGTTTCAATGTTTTAATTGTCATTGTTTAGGTTTCTATATCTTAGGTTATATATATATATATATAAGTTATATAATATATACAATATACAAATACATATTGAAATCACAGAAAAAAATCATATTCATGTTTATCTTTGAGCTTTGGGTAGGTATATCCTATATAGCACAAGGTAAATTTTTATTCTTCGAATTTTTCTGTTTAATCTACTAAAATACAATATTTAAATTATAATTTATAAGTATATTTATTGTATATCATTCACCGTTAGATAATCAAACAAAGTAATTATACATTTATACCTGATAGGTATAAGTATGAGGTTATGTACTAATGTACTTTATGTAATAGTCTAGACTCTAGAGTTGAGATTTTGTAGGAATATGGCAATAATTAATTGCGTTTATACAGTTTCATACTATATATTYATATACAATAAACTTTCAAATTGTTAATACTCTTTCCAAGGTAACTTCTGTCTTCTGAGGAAAAAACCATGATGGGAAGATGTTTATTGTAAATTACGGAAACATAATATTCAATCTATGGGTATAAAATACAGAATATATATTTAATACGATACTAATAGAAAAATATTCTGCAGTACCTACTGAAAAACTAATATTAAAAGTTCTTCGATTTACTTATAGATTTTAGAATCCATCTCAAAGACTTTAACAGGGGTATACAATGTACTCAACTTTCATCATATGTACCGTAAGTCTAGGTAAAAATCCAATAAATTGCGGAGTTTTTGGCATGGTAATTTTCAACAAAGTATATTACTCTTTTGGCCAATATACAAAACATTAAATGTATAGGTACTTAATTTTAAACGTATAGWAAATTATTAAAAATATAATTTGTATAAAATGTGTATAATATAATATTATATTATAAATCTAGTTATATTTATATAAGTATATTATTAATATATATAAATATAAATAAATAAATAGTAATAATATAAAGTTTTTGTGAATTATAGTTAATTTTTTTAAATATAATAAAGTAAATTATTAAATTTTTTAGTTGACCGAAAAATGAATCGGTCGAAATGGGAAGAATACGATTTTGGTCGTAAGGGTTTCACCATGAGGGTCTTCCACTATTCAAATTATTATATTAGCCCATACTTTACATTTTATACTGAATACATTTATACATCCTAATATCTCTGACTAATTTTAGATCGAATTTGTACTATCAGACGAACAAAATTAAAACTAGTAGAACCATAGAGCAGAACATTGTCAATAATTTTCTAAATACAGAGCATAATATGATCTATATAAGTCATGGACGATAAGTCTGGATCACGATTTAAGATATATCTTAAATCGTGGTCTGGATATAGCCATGATTAGTGTTTATGTAATTTTGTTTACAAAAACCCCAGGTTACCTCGTTATCAATCCTATATTAATATTRAGCGTAATAATGAAATATAACATTACACGCATTAAAGATTGACTTGTTTAAAAAATAATATTAAAGTGGTAATAAAACTATTTTATAACAAGACATCCTTTTTTATTATGAAGTATTAAAGTTTACAATATCCACTTTAAGTTAGAGTTTTACCTACGCTGGTTCCAAAATATGAAAAAAAAAAACCTTAATACCCGTAGAACTTGCTATTATATACTCGGTTAAATATGACTGTTTGAGCTTCGAAGATTAAGCATTAACTGCATACTACTACTATAGCGCCGCCGTGGTTATTAAGCGCTCCCTGTTATTATATTATGGACCTTTAGTGGTTCACAATGTTACCTACACCCACTGTGGGCGATTACRCCAAATCACCGAATATGTTTTAATTTATTTACTATTAACATGGGATTGGAGATATAGCTCTGTGAGCCTGTTAGATTGCGGCTTTTAAAGTTGTTATAGGTACATTTTGTTTTTAAATTTTTGTATTTTCAGAACAAGAGATTACGCTCCGATGCTCGTAATCTTTACTATCAACATTTTGATATTTTTAATTTCAAATCCTGGAATATTTTTATTTGT